CGAGGCGGGTGATCAAACCCAGTGAACCAAGTGGCAGCAGGAGGGAGGCAGGTGATTGCTCTGCTCTCACGCTGCAAAGGGAGCTCGAGGGTGTGCCTGTCTGTAACTCATCTCCTCTTTGACTGTCTCTGCTCAGGTAGCTGCATGAACCCCTTGGATGAACCCACAGGGTACCAGGGGAATTGTTCTTTGTACATGGGATAGAAGTTTAGAAGGAAATGTGGCTCTGATGGGGGCGTTCTGCATTGTATCTTCCATTGATCTCACCCAAGGCAGCGAGCCCTCTGGGTTGCTGTCAACTGGTAATTAAACCAGGGAGTCTCCAAATTCCTGTGCCCTTCCTGCTAACGGAGAAGGCGATGGAGGGAAGGCAGGTGTTTAGAGATCAGTTTTCAGGGGCAAAAGTAATTAGAGTGAGTGCAAAACTAATCTGGCACCTAGGGTGTGGGGTTGTACTTGGAGGAATGGTGGGAAATCTCCATCATGTTCAGGGTTTGGAAAACAGGAGAGGAGCACAGCAGGAGGGAGGCGACAGCGTTTCCCTGTGCCTGACGCTGCAGTTCCTAAGGAAATGCCCTTTTTTGTGGGTGCATTCTCACTTTTTGGCCGTACTCTGATTTGGATGCCAGTGTTGCAGTGAGTGGACAGGCTGTGGGTGTTTTAGCAGGTGCTGGAGCAGGCAGAGCATTGAGCTGCTCTCGGGGCGTGGGGGCTGGCGTTACCTGGAGCAGGGCAGGTGGTCTCAGCTCCAACCGTGAGGAGAGGTCAGGGGATACATGTGCTTTGGGCTCCTGTCCTGGCAGTGTCCTCCCAGCATCGCTCTCCAGGTTCCTCCTCCTGAGGAACTCCCTTTGCCGAGGGCTCTGTGACGGCTCCTCCGCTCCCCTCCCGAGGTGGCGACAGGTCGTCAGGTTGTTTCGCCGCCGCAGGTTCTCCCGCGTCTCGTGCCGCCGCTCACACTTCTCATCGTAGCTCTCACGCCTGTGCCGCGGCCGTGCCCTCCTGGGCTGGCTGATCATGGTGGGCACAGCTCTGCTGGTCTGCTCTGAGGTCCTCTGTCCTGATGAAACCAAGGGAAAAGATGCAATTTGAGTGAAAACTGATTATTTCTAAGATTAAATGAATGTGAAGGGTTGGATGCTGATTGTGGAGCCCTCATGCAGTGGATGCAAGTTGTGTTCCTGGAGAAATCTGTTGTCCATGAACTTGTATGTGGTGACCATGTGAAACACACTGTGCTGGTCTTGCCTCTCTGTCAGGTGGTGCTGACCCAGGGGATGCTTGGAACAGAATTTCAAACAATTAACACAACCTCATGAAGTTGGTTTCACTACCAAGTAAAGATGCTTCCTCTGGGAGCATTGCTTTCCTGGTAAAATAAAACCCCTGTTATTCAGATTACTTCTCTGGTGTGTGCTCGTAGAGCTCTTCACTCAACCTAAAGAAAACACTGAAAACACGGGAAGAGCAATAGCTGCTATTTCTGCAGTGAACTCCTTTTAAATGTGCACCACTTCCACCAGTTTGGGTTTTTTATGGGTCCAAATGCAGTGCTGCTGTGGTGTGACTTACTCTTCAAGCAGTTGCATTCTGTTTCTAAGTGGTGGCTGCCTGTTCTGTGTGCACAGAGAACTCTGGCGCAGTGAAACCCTCGCAGTGTTGTTAAGGGTTTGATTTATTTTTTTATATTTATTTTTTCCTCCCAATGGAATATCTGGCGAAGCCCCTGTGGGTCTGAGCACACCCAGTCCCTGAGGAGCACAGCTACTGTTCGCTGCTTTCTCTCTCTGCCTGCTCGGTCCCTCCCTCCTTCCCTCCCCAGCTCTTGGTTCAGATGCTGTGGAACACTTTGCCCTTTGCTTCTTCACCTTGGCTTGTCCTCCTGCAGCCTTTCTGCCTCAGCCCTGGGTCTGTGTGTTAGACAAGCTCAGCTTGGTTCCCTCACTGCAGATACACGTGTCACGACCGATCATTGCGCTTTGGGATTGATTCACTGTTAAGCTGTGCTCAGGAGCTGGGGGTGCAGGCTCTCAATGGTACCAGTTTGCCTCTGGCATGAATTCTGTCTCCATTTCTGGGGGTTTTGTGGCCCAAACAAGGCAGTGGCCGGGCTGAGGGAGGAGCTCCTCTGTTTCAGCTCTATTGCACCGTCTACGTGCGCACACAGGGTGTAGATATGAAACCTCCACCCTCCTGACTCCTCCGCGCAGTTGCGAGCCGTCCTGCTTTTGGTTCTTTACTGGACTTGGGTTGTATCAAGGGTATTTGGGCCTTTGCCTTTGCATCAGTCAGAGAAAACTGAGCAATAAATACCCACAACTGCTTCTCTTCCTTCCTCCCCTTGAGCAGAAGCCACATCCCCCTCTCTGCCCCATCGGCAGTGAAGAGGCTCTTCATCCTCGTGTGCATCCCGTGAATGATGTTTGGAGGGTGCCCACCCCCCGGGGGGCTCAGCCTGGGGGCTGCTGTGGCTGTATCTGGTGTGGGACTTTTCTCATGTTCAGTAAATTGTGTCAATGTAGGAAGGAGGAGAAAAAAAAAAGAATTTTAGTCTCTGAAAATTCAGTTTAAATGTGTTCAGTGTTGAACAAAACCAGTAAGATTTCACTGCACTCATTCTGTCTCAAGCAATTAGGAAGTTGTTGAGTCTAATGGAAAAAAAAAATGTGAACAAGTAAACCTCACTTCCATGTGTAATACTTGTGTGATTTTTAATCTGCATTAAAATCTGCTCTGTCATTCTTTTTATTGTCCTTGTGCCAGCTGTGGTGTGCCCAAAGCTCATCGCTGGTGCCATCTCTTTGCTGTAGGGGCTTCCTTGGGAAGGAGAGCGGCGATTTTGGAGCAGTCAGCTCTTGCTCTGGGCAGGGAAGGTGCCTACAGCCAGGAACAGCTCAGCTCCTCTCCCACCTGCGCTGCCTCTGGGCTGCCCAGCCTGTCACCCTGCTCCCCAACAGCAGCTCTCCATTGCCTCACTTAACCAAAAATGTGTGTTAAAGCAAGGTAAAGCTTAAAGAAATACACGGTCCTTTACTCACCCCACGCTGAGCAAACTGTTGAGGCCTTCTTGACAAGCTAATGCTCCATTTCCTCCTTGTGTTACCCCAAATTACCCTCTCTAATTAACAGATATGTCCTTTATCTTTGCTTTCCAAGCTGTTAGGCTTCTCGCTTCAAGGGAAACAAACAACAAAAAATAAGTCCTTCTTGCCGGTTCATGTT